TGAAGGACAGGAAGGCCTGGCGCAATATGGTTCATGGGGTCACGAAGAGTCGGACACGACTTAACGACTAAACAACAACAAAATCTAGCTATGATGTCATGTAATTTTTAAAAATTTAATATAATTTAATTTATTTCATTTAGGCACCACTTGACTCCAACTGACTCTGGGCAGTGTACAATAAAACCAACAACAAAAAACCAGAAAGCAGTAATTATAAAAGAGTAAAAGAATAAATAACAAAAATCAATGGCATATCTGATTAACCACACCCACACACAATCTAGCAGGGGCCGAGCTAGCCCAATACAAGGCTTAAGAACAGCCAGGTCTTTAAGGCTTTCTGAAATGCCAGTAAGGTGGGATTGGCACATATATCAGGGGGAATCTCATTCCACATGGCAGGGCTATGACAGAGAAGGCAGACTTCTGGGGATCCAATAAATGACATTGTTTAATTGAAAGGACCCAGAGTGTGCCATCTCTGTTGGATCGAACCAACTGGGGTGTAATGGTATGTGGGAATGACCTTGGGAGACAGGACGAAGAGCCACAGCCAGGGGAGCAGTTGGATAAGAGGCAGCTTAGCCCTCAGAAGCAATGTGGGTGTGGCAAATGGTTCAGAAGGAACCCTCTCTAGTTTCTTGGGCTGTAAAGGTGATGGGGGAGAAATATACTTTCAGACTTGCAAGTTTCTGTTAATGTAACCTTATACTAAAGTAGAATTAGTTCATCTGGGTGTGCTTCCTGTTGGACTAGCTCTCAAGGCTTACATAGGCTGATACTATGGGAGATAAGCTGTCCCTCAAGTAACCAGGCCCTATGCCGTGTAGGGCTTTATTGGTCATAGCTAGCTGCTTGAATTGCACCTAGAAGCATAGAGGTAACCAGTGCAGCTTGCAAAGCAGAGGTATACATATACATATACATATATACACACACACACACACACACATATACAGTGGTACCTCTAGTTACAAACGCCCCTACTTAAGAATTTTTCGAGATACGACTAGCTCCGGCCCCAAAAATTTACCTTGACTTGCAAACTCGCCTCGACTTA